TCTTTATGTACACCTCTATGTTTCAGTAACTTGGCATTGATGGTTTATCTAGTTGAGTTATAATCATCATTGTATTTTCTTGTACCACAAAATTCTGAGACTTTTATATCTACACCAATAGAAAATGGTCATGATTCTTTATCTAATCTACTCCTGTTATGAGTAAGTAAATTTGTGAATCTGAGCCTACATTTTTGTGGAAAATAATGAGAATCCTGAAAACAATGATAATGATGATCTAATTGAAATGTCACAAAATAATGAGTCACTTCAAGAAAACATATTTGAATTAGGAAACAGGACTTGTGAAGGGAAGGTTTTTTGTGAAAAAGCGCCATAAAGGAAGAGAAGAGTCAACATCTCAACACTGTCAAGAATTTGAACCAGGGAATGATCAACCTCTTAACAAAAGGAAAGGTAAGTCTATCTTTGTTTCGGAGATTCGTATTTTGTATCATGATATAGATGATCATACTGCCATTAGAAAACTTGTTAGATCTTGCACTAAACACCCTATGTCCAATTTTATATCATATTCAAATTTGTCTTCATTTATGTATGTCTTCCCTACAAAATTGTTTAGTGTAGAAATTCCAAAAAGTGTATAGGTTGCTCTAGAATTTTCAAAGTGGATGGAAGTTGTACTTGAGGAGATGAAAACTCTTAAAAAGAATAAAACTTAGAGTCTTACGACACTACCAGATGGCAAGAAGACAGTTGGGTGCAAATTTGTGTTTACTGTGAAGTATAATTTAGATGGGCCAATTGAAAGGTACAAGGCTTGCTTGGTCGATAAATGCTTTACTCAAACTTATGATATAGACTACTCAGAGACATCTTCTCTTGTTGAAAAATAGAACACTGACAGAATTCTTTTATCTCTTGCTGTTAATCTGGATTGGCCCCTACATCAGTTAGATGTTAAGAATGTCTTTCATAATGGTGACCTAGAAGAAGAATTATATATGGACATTCCTCCTGACTTTAAAAAAAAATTGAATCAAATGTATGCAAACTAAATAAGTCTTTGTATGGATTTAAAGCAATCCCCTAGAGCTTGGTTAAAAACTCACTGACACCATGAAGAAACGAGGGTACATCCAAGGATAGACTGAACACACCTTGTTCACAAAGTTCTCCCATGATGGGAAAGTTGTTGCCTTGATGTTTTATGTTGATGATATTGTCCTTATTGGAGACAATACAGAGGAAATGCCAAGAGTAAAAGAGAAATTGGCAGTAAACTATAAAATCAAAGGCTTGGGATTCATGAGATATTTTCTAGGTATGGAGATTGCTCGGTCAAAGAATGTGGTTTCACAGCATAAATACATTCTAGACTTATTGAAAGAAACAAGAATGAGTGGATGTCGTCTTGCAGATACTCTTATGGATCCTAATGCTAAACTTCATGGATAAGGTGATGCTCCTGTTGATACTGAAAGATGTTAGACATTGATTAGGAAACTAATTTATTTGTCACACACCCTATCTGATATTGTTTTCTTAGTTAGTGTAGTAAGTCAGTTTATGCATTCTCCTTTAAAGGAACATCTTGAGGTTGTCTATAGGATACTGACATATTTGAAGGAAAATCCTGGAAAATGCTTATTTTCTAAGAAGACTAGTGAAAGAAATGTGTCTATCTACACCGATATTGATTGGGCAGGTTCAGTCACTGATAGAAGATAAACCTCTGGATACTATACATATATTTGGGGTAATCTTGTGACATGGAGGAGCAAAAAACAAGAAGTTGTAGAAAGAAGTACTGCAGAAGCCGAGTTTAGAGTTATGTCTCAAAGTATTTGTGAAGAATTATGGATCCTTAGAGTTCTAGAAGAACTTAAGATGAAAATTGAGTTTCCATTGAAATTGTACTCTGATAGTAAAGTTGCTACTATCATAGCTCATAATTCAGTTCAACATGACAGAACCAAACATATTGAGATTGATCGACACTTCATAAAGGAGAAGTTAGATGCTGAAATTATATGTCTACCTTTTGTGACTTCAAGTCAGCAAACTGCGGATATCATATTCAAAAGTTTGGTAAAACATACTTTTGAGCATTTAATAGACAAGTTGGGTGTGATAGATATCTATGCACCAACTTGATGAGGGGTGTTGAAAAATATTTTATTTTCCGACTTTATTGTTTTCTTTAATTCTCCTTTTATTTTTCTTTATTCTTCATTAAAAAAAGAATTAATTGTAATAATTGTAAATCCGCTCTATTTTTCTTTATTCTTCCTTAAAAAAAGAATTAATTGTAATAATTGTACCTCTCCTATATAACTAACACTGAGGAATAAAACAGAACAAACCGAACAACTTTTCCTTATTTTCTTTAATACACTCTTATTAGCTTTAAGTGTTAGAATGTTTGTAGTTATATCTGCCATGGCTTTGGAAAATGTCATTGCCGCCAACACTATATTGCAACTATCTCTTATATACAGTTTAGATCGTTGACATCATTTGTGAGAAGAATGGCATGAGCAACATATAAGGCCAAACATACCATTAAGCTTATTAGCCTTATCTAGAGACTAATGTTCGAGTACACTAAAGAATCTTGTATTGTTCGAGTACACTAAGGTTGTTTGCAAATATTCACACTTTTGAATCTACTAAGAGCATCAATATCGTCTGATAGAAGAAGCGGCTACACGTTATCTAATAACATGCATCAATAACATTGCATCAAGAGAGTTGTAGATAATTTACAACAACGATGCTTCAATCCACTTTTTGACTTTTGAGTTATTTTTAAAAAAAAACTAATAGATATTAACACATAACCAATAATTATTATTTGGAGTATATTGGAAAGATTGGCATTCAATTTGAATATGTGCTTTTCGAATGCATAATCTAGTTTTTTTTCATTTTTGTTGCAAGAATTGGGTACCCCATGCACTCCTGGTCGATACAATTTTTGGCTTATAAAAAAGAGTTTTAAATGAGTAATGTGAATATTTGAAAATTATAATTGAGTTGTTGAAATGATTGAGAAGTATGAAGAAACACATTAGACCAAGTGATTGGATGACATAGATGTGTTTTTAAATAAGAACCACAGTGTCAGGACTTAACAAATGTCTAAATCAGACAATAGTTCAAAAAACAAACCGCATCAACTAGGTCAAAACGAATGTCTAAATCAGACAATAGTTCAAAAGACAAACCGCATCAACTAGGTCAAAACTGAAATCAAGTGGCAAAACAAAGTGTTTTAAAATGGCTTTGAATGACCATGGCCATTGTAAAGCATAGAACCAAAACTGATATCTTGATTTACTTGTCCACGACTTTGTACCCTAAGGAATGGTTACAACACTATGCGCTACTATCATTTATTCATTTGTTTCATGAACACATCTATTTTGTAAAAATCCGCTTTATAACCGTTCATAAACACTAATATTGTGTAACTATTATTCACATCATATGTTTGGTCTATTATAACCAGACACTAGACCTATTACACAGTTAAAAAGATCCTAAAAATCTCACATTAATTGGAGATAGTTTATATAGAGTGGCATCCCTCACCTTATCAACCGGTTTTGTAGGATTGTGTTACGCCTAACTCTAATACAGTATCAGAGCCTATCGATCGGACCTTGGGCAACCCACTGTTTAATCCACACACCAAGCCCAAAAAGAGTGATGGGCGTGAAGGGTGTGTTATGAAGATCCTAAAAGTCCCACATTAATTAGAGACAATGTAATAAAATAGTTTATATAGAGTGGCACCCCTCACCGATTCCTACTCTGTATTCATGCTCATTTAGTGGTAGTGCAAATTGGGACAAGCATATTAGTTTGCCAAATCTTACCAATGTAACCTACTTAGAGAGACTAAATGGGAAAAGATTCATGTATAAGGTCAATACAGACCTCAGAAAAAAGAACATAAATAATGGGAGAAAAAGACAAGAAAAATAGGTAACATGAATCAATTGATAATGTCATAAAAGTTCTGCCATGTTAATATTAGGTTTGAAGATAAATCATTAACCTTTAGTGTCTGTCCTAATGTTTCCTTGGCCTCCCTTATCAATGCTTTTCACATGCATCCTCCAAAAATAAAATATTTATCTTTTCTATGAAAGAGCTGCTATAATTTTCTATCTAATCCATCTTATGTTGTGTAACCACTGAGTCATTAGAAAATTCTTTCCTGTGGAACATAAATATGCATGTCACACCATCTTTTTGGTATGATCAACAAGCATATATTAGAACCAAGATGATAAAGAATCAGTTCATGTTTTTCTTTTGTTTCTTTATACATGATTATTATAAATATTTGGAACACATGAAATCAATTTTCTGCTAAATGAAATTGATTACAAAGTATCAGTACACTATTAGAGTGAAATTTGAGTCTCACTAGTTAGAAAATGTGTCCTAACAATAGGGAATGAGACCTACATAACATATTCACTCCATAATTGAGCAGGTTAGAAAGAGTGTATTGCTATGATTGCACAGTATCGTAACATATTCAGAAAATTGATGCAGAATTTCCCAAATGTTTATAAATGATGAACCATACAGTTTAATTTCATTCAAGATCTAAATGAGTGTAGCCGTTGATGAATTTTACTGACATAGATATTTAATTTCCTTTCTTGTTCAGTACAAGCCTAGAATGCGCTACATATTACTATAAATTGAAAAGACGTTTATCAAAAACGAAAAACTATTTACAGAAAAACAATGAGAGCAGGGAGACAATTGATTTCACACAGTAAAAAAATATGACATTAAGCAACAACCTTTCACCAACTTGAATCATTAGTTTTCCTTTGACATCTATATATTGTAATTCGTGTGAAAAGAGAAACGCTACCTTATCCTTGACCAAAATTGCACACAATGTGTGACTTTTGCTCAACATCCAAACCCAGGGCCCGGTGGCAGGCCATATAGCAAAGGCAGGCATCACCAATTTAAGAAAGATTGAATCAGCAGTCCCTCAACCAAAACTATTGCCATGAAGCACTATGTCCACTCGGCATGGCTCGAGCTTCGGCCAGAGAGACAGCCATAGCCAGCATCATTTGCTCCTCAAAACTCTCGGGAACAATGGGGTCGGTGGCACTTTGAAGGCTTTCATCAATGTCATTAGGTTGTGACATAGACGACAGTTCGCCACGATCTTCTACTTCAACAGAGTTTGTATAGCTAGTTGCCGTTTCAGCTACCTGTGATCCATGATCTATGCTCCATTGACCATGACTCCTAGACATTGCCATGGCATCATCTGGTGGCACCTCATTCAGGTTTTCTGTGGGTGAATAACTAACCATATCTCTACCAAGCCTGTTATAAAACCTCCTGGAGCCCGGTGGCATGTTGAACGATGGTGTACTTTCGTTGTTGGAGCTTACAGATGATTCCCCGGACATTTGCTGACGCTCAGCAAGAGCTGCAATGGCACTAGCGAGACCCCCCGACGGGGAAGAGGATGATCCTGTCTGTTGAACCATGGGAGATGAAGCATAGCGATCATCGGTTACGTAGTGACCAGAAGTAGCATCAGTAAAAGGTGAATTTCGCTGCCTTCCATTCTCCTGTATGCATATATTGAGTCAATCCAGTCATCATCAATATGAACATGCAAGCAAACTTAATGGATAAAATTAAGCATGAATTACCTTTTTGAGCTAATAATAATAATGAGATTCAACAAGACAAAAACTGAAGCTTAGCAATTTCAAAATTAATTGATAATAGACATCGAACAATAGATTGTATGGTACATTGTTCAGCAAGATTGTGAATTAAATTGCGAGCATAATCAAACAAAATTCTTTACCTGAATAGAAAGCCAGATTGCTTCCATGACCATAATGTCTTCAAGATCAACATCAAATTCATCATCTCTGCAGTTTACAGCATTTTAGCAAAAAATGTAAGGTATGTCCAGAAAGTATAGCTTCGAAAATGCAATATACAAAAGACCCATGCACTCATGGCCTTAAGCGAACACTATTTACTGCTTATTTAACAAGAAATTGACTTAAATGGACAAACAAAAATTGGCGGGGCTCCACCTATGGTGTTGTGTGCATATTTACCATCACAAATTAGAGAGAAAAGTTTTCTCTTCATTTGGATTTTTTAAAATATGTGATAGAGTAACAATGAAGGCTTCAATTTGGATGCCATTAGCCTTGCATTAGTCATTGGAGATGCCATAGGAGAGACAAGCCAGTTTTTAAATGGTTTATGGATAGTAATAGCACAACAAAAACATAGTAGTAGTTAAGTGCTGATCTAAAAGAACAAATCTTGAATTCTTCTTTCAAAAAGCTAATCGCTTGTAATTTCTATAAATGTGACCCATCATTTCTTGCATGTCTAACCATATCCATCCATAGAATCAACACTTCAGGAGTAGCATCAGCTGAAGTTGAGTGACTGAACCAAAACAAAGGAATCAACTAATAATTGATGATACCAATTTCCCTCTTCGGTATTTTGTTACGTAAACAATTACAAAATCAGACTTCCATTAACAAATAATCAACGGAATTAAAGTTGAAGTTAAACTAGAATGAAGTTTCTGTAGATTTAATTATTACAACATATTCTGCTGAGACCATAGAAGCAGGCCAATGTTCAGATGTTGGATTACAGTGTCAGAAAATAAAAAGAATTTTCTATGAATATTTCCACTCTGTTGTGATTTAAAAATCAAATGCACATTGTCTTTCTTACTCAACATGAATATCACTTAACATTTGCCACAGTATTATATATTATGTACCTCAGGATCATTCAGTCTCCTTCATACGGACTTGTGCGCTTCAATTCAAATAATTAAATTTAGTCGTGTTATAAGTATAGTAATCCTTGTAACATTATTGGTTGAAAGGATTGCATGAGCATTAGTACAAGAACATTGATGCTTGACTATTTACATTAGAGCGAGAAGAATACTTCTGCCTCATTTCGTGGTAAACTCAAAATTTGATAATGTACACAATATGATAAATAACATATTTTAAACAGATCAACTATCCATAAGTAGGTAGAAAAACAATGGATGCATAAATGCTAAGAGACATAATAAGAAAATTGAAGGGGATTGGTAAAGAAAATAAGTGAAGGCGATCATACCTATTGGCCCTAGTGGCAGGAGGTGGTCTAACCATTGGTGTGGCACACGAGTCTTGAGAAGAGACGATTTCATCGTGTTCAACGGCAGACATTGAAGATTCCGCCACTGCAGAAAAAAGAACAAAATAATTTATGCAACTATGATTTGTCATGTAGACACATTGCATGCACATACAGACAAAATATGAAACTGTATTTGAAGACTACCTGCATTTGAATTGTATTCGACATCTGCAACAGCCACATTTACATTTGAAGAGCTTACTTCTAGTCTTTTATGCATTCTTTCCTCTTCATCCTGAAGTTCCTGCTGCCGCATCCTAATTTTTGCTTCAATAACACGCTGCTCCTCCTGAATAATTATGAGTATGCATGCAAAACTTTATTCACTATTAACTGTTTTTTAAAGATGCACTCTAAAAGACAATATTCATAGAAGATAACAACTTACTATTTGTTCCAATCCCTTCTCCTCTTTTGATTTTACACCACGATACTCCACAGCATAATTTGCCGTTTTACAAAAGGGACATCTGATGCTGTTAAGGCAAACAACTATCCTAATACTAAAGCACCAAGAAAGTTGCTAGACTTTCAATTTTAAGTTACATATTCATATTGAAGACAAACAATTTGTAATGCAGGATACTGTGTAGGCCGAGTTGAATTTGGAACTTTCATCTGCAAAAAGCACTCTGATAAAAGGAAATTAATCAGGTTGTTTATAAATGCTAATGACAGAACATATAAATGATAAAAGGAAATTAATCAGGTTGTATACCTGTACAAATGCTTTTTGTGCAACATCTTGATCGGTTTAGACTTGGATAATACTAAAATAAGGGGGGAAACAAAGCACAACCGAGATGGTATGATTAGAGAAGGCATATCTGAAGATCGCGTTTTAGAACAGATTTCAAAGAAACAAGGAATAAAAACAATCCACATATGCTTAATGTTACATCCATTCATATAAGAAAGCATGTGTAAAAGTGCTAAAAGTTATAACTGAATAGGTGGGAAAAAATAAATATTAGAGGCATATTATAGAAACCATACCAGAAAGCAAATTGGGCACTCTTCACGATCGCATGCAGTTTCTTCATCTCCAGGAAAGCAAGGTGCAAGCTTTGATTCAAGAATTAGCTTCCTCAGCTTCTTCTGATCAACATCCTTATGATTATACAATCCTTGCGGCCGTGTATATTTTTCATCCACCACTTGTCTCCTCCTCCCGAGTTTATTACCCATCCAACAAAACTCAGTTCTTCTCACCTACCAATTACGTTTTGAATTCTTCAACAAGAAAAAACAGAACAAAAGTAACAAAAGTAACAAAACTATAACATCCTGTATAAAAACACTCTCAATGTTCCATATCACCAAAGTACACACTAATACCAAACTATATTGTAGTACATCATCACATACTAAATCAGCCTAATCCCCAATATATAATACAATCAAAAGACGAAATAAAAAGCACCTCTCTCGTCAATCTATTAACATTGTTGCACAAACACACTCCAAAAGCCCTGCAGACAAAGTCACCTAGAAGAAGTAAACAAGGGGCAAACAAAATCCCAAAGAAAACCCAAAACTACACACTTAGCAAATTGCAATAGAATCACTCAAAGACTCAAACTTTCTACAAATTCCCAAAATTCACCACCAAAAATCACTACTTCCACAACACTCAACAATACAGAATAAAAAAATCCCAAATACAGAAAACAATTATCATAATTTCAATGCAGTTAATCAAGTCAAACCAAATTCACTCACAATTTGAGAGCAAACAACAAAGTCTCATTCGAAAACAAATTGAATTGACAATCAAAATCAATAACAATAAAAACACCAAGAACCCTAATCAAAGCTACAATGAACTCCAATTGAGGAAGCAAACACGCAATGTCAAAATAAAAACAAGCCAAATAATAAAACGAGTACCAATTTGTGTCTCGTCGCAAAGTTGAGAATGGTAGAAGTAGAAGAACAAATAAAGTTTTTCAAACAAGTTTGAGAGAAGTTGAAAAGATTTGAACAGTGAGCGAAAAACACGTAAAAAAACCAGATAGAAGAAAAAAGGAAGAAAAGACAAAGAAATTGGGAATCGGAAAACGAACCTTAAATGGGTTTTGTAGAGAGAGAAAGAGAGGGTTTTGTAGAGAGAGAAAGACGAGGAGAGGGAAGAAAGGAAGGAGTAATAGAGGAGAAAAGAATCATTCTATTTCCATTTTTACCATTGTTACTCTACTCACCTGCTTTCACGCGCTCTTCTATTAGGTGCTTTTCACACGCCATATGCTTTTTGAATTATTTTTTATAATTGTTTAAAACATATTAATTAAAGGATTTGCTTGGGATTTAAAAAAAATAAATTTAAAAAAAGTTATTTTTTACTTTACATTTTAAAAAATGAAAAGTAATTTTAAAATAATTTAATTTAATTTAAATCATATTTTATAAATTAAAAAAATATTTTTGACATCTAATAACATAAATATATATTATTAAAAATTAAAACATAGTCAAAATAGTATAATTTTTCAAAAAATATTTTTATGAAAATCAATTTATAATAGTTTTAAATTTAAATAATTTTTTAAAATATTCAAAAAATTATAACAAAAGAAAGAAATACTTAAAATAAACTTTTTAAAAAGTTATTTAAACTAATTTTATATTTAAAGGTTTTTAAAGAAAAATCTTTGTAAATATTTTAAACAAAAATATCTAATAATATAAAAGTTGTTTTTTTGGGAACCACAAGTGGATGTTCTACTTTCACGAGGGAAGTAGAATGAGAGATGGATAATTTAGATCTTGAACGGTGACTCTAATCTCCTTTACGGTGGCGTGGATTAAACCTGCATGATTATCACTCTAACACCCAAGTCAGTTCAATATTCAAGATGATTCAGTAAAATTGGATATCAGAGATTGTTTACCTTCTCATATCATGTGAACTATTTTTATATTTTGGGTCGAGTGGAGTGGGCTTGAGACAGATTGAGTCTGGGTTCATTGGGCCTTTGGCCAGTCCATAACAGTTGCTCCCAAGGCTTTACTGAGCATTGAAAGAGTTGGGGAAGTCTTAAGTATTTTTTACTGACATCCATGTCGTATTCTGGTGTGGAATAGAACCGAATCGCTTGGGGTCAATTTTTCAAAACAATTAATGGGGGAACACAAACATTTAATGTGGTTCTATCATTGAGGCACTTTGTCACTCATTCCTGACATGTGTGATGGTGTGACCAGCTAGGGTGTGACACAGTTCATAGAGTGCTAAAGTACATTTGAGTTTGGTGTATTTCCATGAGTGGGATTTTATTCGTTGATCTTGTGATCTCTATTCATAGTTGATCTTGATCATTCATCTGTCATTGCTTATAAAGAGTGAGTTAAATATTTTGAAGTTTTAGAAACCTTTTGACTTTCATGCTTACATTTACTACGTTGGGGAAACGTCTTTGTTCCTTCTTCGTTGATAATATCACTAGAAATGATTCAAAGCTTTGCTTAAATCTTTCGCCTTTTTCATTCTTATTGCTTCATTAATCTTTCTTAATGAGGTACCCTTCTAAATTCAACTTTATCTTCAACATTTATTATCTCCTTAATTAGGACTAGCGATAACATTGTTGATTTAATGAGTGATTCTGAAGTGGAAGTTTCATATGGATTGTCCCATGATTCTCATCATCCTACCCTTAGTAGCGATTACGTAAGACCATAAATCATATCCCTATCTAACAATTATGGGTCAGAAGGGACGCCCGAGACTTCCTTAGAGGAAGAAACTTCTTCTTTTAGGTCGTTAGATGCCTTTATATCAAATGTTGGTGGAAGAATATTCCACGTCTAGGTTCCAATGCCCCCTCATATCATGTCGGAAAAAAAAAGGTATGATTAATTTGCAAAGGAGGGAACATGTTAGAGATTTTGTTCTAACTCACCTGCGAACTGTAGGTTGTGAGTCTAGCAACACTAAGGTGCTGAAGCATTTAAGTCTTCAACGTCGGTTGAATGTGTCGATATATTATTGTGTAGATGCAAAGGTAGCAAGTTCTTCCTCGACTTTAAGCACTGCGACAGCCCTTGGCGAGGCTAACATTGTGGTCGGTGACCCTTCATAGTGGTTTATCCTTCCGATTTCGGAGGAAAAGAGGATATGCAACTCTTTCGATGACAGTAAGGTCTCGTTTTATGAGTGATTGTTTACAATAATAGAACTTTGGGTGCCCTTTTCTAAATCTAAGTTATTTGTCCTACGACATTTAAAGATTGCCCATTCCTAGCTTCATTAGGGGTCATGGGCATATATAAGGGTCTTCCAACTGTGTTTTGAACACACGTCTTGGAAGCCATCTCTTAATTTATTCTTAAATATTTTCCACCTGAGGCGTACTTCCCCAGATAACTTTCACAATTGGGGCTCATTTACTTCCATCTGGGACTTTTTTTTATTGGTGAAACCCCTCACTTTCGCAACTATTCTTCTTTTTGTTACCTTCATATTGATCCTCCCCTCCCTTGTTGGGCTATGTAGCCAAAATATTGGTCCAATCTTCACTTTAACCAATCTACTTTCTCCTATTGTACCAAGTCGGACTGTATTTCTCCAAATGAGGTGACAGTGAAGGAGGGAAACACAATCCTGATTTCAAAGGCTTGGTTAAGAAGACTGGCTCAGCCCTAGTGAGGTGCATTCTTCCAATGTGAGGAAGAGGCGAATTGATACTCATGTTATCTTGAGTGCAATTGAATTTGAGGAGATGAGAAAAATCTTTGGTGAAAGCAAAGTCTTAATGCGTTTTTTACATGCGTGATTGCACTTTGCAAATAGAATGGATAAAATAAGAAAACTGAACATGTTCTACAATATTGTTGGTGCTCAAGGTATTCGGGTTGTGTTGAGTACTAAAAAAATTTCTTCTATCCTCGCTCCTGCTCTGGCCCTTTCTCCTACATCGGTCATGGAAGCTTCGACTCCTATGCTCGAGGTGAATCATCTTATAGATGTTGTGGCAACTTTGTCGGTGAGGAAACCAACCTTGCCTTTGGCTTTAGTAAAGAGGGATTAGGAGGAGGAACATCAGTCTTTTCGAACTGAGTATTCTCTGAAACAGACTCAGGTTGTTGAGGAAGATGCTTATGGGGAGGTGACTCCCTTCTTAAAGATACCAAATATTTTCTCTTCCTAACTTCCACGCACTTCTAAGGAGATTGATGTTATTATATCAATGTCGATTTATCCTTCATCCAGAATCTCCCTGAGGGGGGATAAGATGGAAATTACTTCAGAGCTTTCTCGCATCATGTTCAAATTTGCTTATATTTTTTTCTCGTCTCTATTGGACTGGATGATATTTTTCTCAGGTTATTCCTTTAAGTAAAGGGATACATGGAAGGGAAAGTTTGAAGCTATGGAGTATAAGTGTATCAATCTTCAGAAGGAGCTAGTTGCGTTACAGGAAGAAGTTAACGTTGTTAACTATTTGTAAAAGGCCATGAAAGCACATGACTTCTCTTCTTCTTTGGTGGTTCGCGTGACTAAACTGAAGGATTCCCTCTAGGATGCAGAGAAGCGATACAAGGCTACTTCTGATTCCATAAAAGAAAAGGTTCGCCAGGTGGAAAAGTACCGAAAATATGCAGAGGCCTTGAAATCTCGTTAGGACGATGTGGACAACCTGAGGCAGACGCTTCAAGATGCCTTTCATCAGGAAATGCAGGACATGCTCAGAGCTCAAGAACGAGTTATGGAGCATGCAAGGAAATTTTACCTTGGTGTTGTGATATTTGTTGAGGCATTTGACCCATGTAGTTCGCTCCTAGGTTGAATCGGGAAGGTGATCTTAATGCCTCGACTAAAAATGTTTCAGCTTGATTTTCCTTTTGCTTGTATTGCTTATTTCCTACATCTTTTTCCAAGCTTTTGTGCCTTTGTTGTACTAAATTTTAAATTTTAATGAAATATTTTACATTGATGTTTCAAGTATTGTTAGCTTTAGAGCCTTGTTGTTTACTGGTACTTTTAGTAAATAATCACGAGTTTGGTTCACTTAAGAGATTAAACTCAAAAAAATATTGAGGATAATTTGTGTGGAAATATGCAGCAAAAAAATGTGTGTGATTGAATCCTAAATGTTTGAATGTTGATAAACCGAATCTAAGTTCTAACAACAATAAGCTTTGGATGAATATAATAAACAAAAAGCATGATAAAAGTCATTAAAGTA